TCAGTGCATATAAGTCCCCATTGCTAATATGACCGGCACGGACTCTGAAGCGATGGCAAAGCTCCCATGAGTGAACGACTTGGGCATTTATGCCATCCACAACCGGTACAGTGCACGGGCTTCGTAAGTATATACGTGTATGTATAACAGACCATGGAATGAATATGCGCAATAAGCACACAGATCACAGAGGGAAACGAAAGAGAATATGTGTTTTACCACTCTGCTCTGTCTTTTTGTCAGTTTAATGCTTGTGGCACTGATCGTAGATCGATCGCATAAATTCACACAAAGACGAAGGCATCAACAGTACGCCGGTACGCAGTACCGACGCTCTGCTGCCACGCAACCACCACCGGTCGCGGGCGGATTAAGGATACTGCGAGGGTCGCTCTGCCCATACACAGGCTCGAACCCGCGCCGTCAGATTATAAGACAAGTTTGTTACCTCTAGGCTACGGCCCAGCATAAATTCAAACAAATCTCCCACGCACCATTTCCTCAAAGGTTTTCAAACAGAGATGTTCCTCAGCCCTGGTATCCTAACCCGGAAGACGTATGGGACCGACAACAGCCAGACTGGAAGTCAGCGCTTTGACACTTTGTTGCCATGTGGTAGGTTGGCCACCGCGCGATTTCTTCCCGTGCGGCTCTGAGCGAACAAACAGAGCGCATCGTGCTAATCGCTCGCACGGAATGCGTAGGGCGAACCCAGAGATTTCAGTTGGCACATCAGCACTAGTGTGCCGACAGGAAGGTTCATATTACCTAGGACGCGAGGTCGAACATCGTCGTGGAGATTCGGATAAGAAAATGGTTAGTGAAATTCATTTTCCAAGGATAGTGGAGCAACAACCAGACAACTGTGCTTTCAGCCACCTGATTATGGGGCCAATGAAATGGCACAAATGAAGCCGCTCATTGGGATTCACTAGAGTAGTCTGTTCCAACAAGTTTACTACACATGCTGCCAGTCGTTGACTTAGCGTTACCAGACAGAATGGTGTGAGTCAAATCATTGGAACCCGAGTTCGTCATGCTGTGCAATAAAAATGTTTCCGTGACATCGGATACACTGACCTCGAGGGGTTTTAAAGTCATGAAGTGTCGCCCGTTGACCGTCCTGATGTAGCAAAGAAACATTGAAAGACTCAAGGAAGGATGGCAACCGAAGTACGAAAAATAGTCTGACATCCTTACAGCATGGTTAATGAAAGCATAAATGGTTTCTTGCTGCTAAACATGAGAAGTGTATTCGCGAAAAAAAGAGAAGAGAGGGAAAGTCTATTTCGATGGAGTCATTGGGGGAAGATGCCAATACGGCACTAATGGAAAAAGTGATTTTGTTCGAGGTAATCTAGCTGTACTTTCCGACAAGGCAATAGGCTACACGTTCAGCTGGACAATGTAACTGCAGTGCCCCGGGGAGGGGTCTGCATAAGGCCTGTCACACACAGCCTCGTAGAACTAAAAGCGAAGGTATGTGTTTTCAAATGTAGCCGAGTATGCGCCTGAAAAAGGTGAAGTGTGGCGGGTCAACATTGTGTAGACGCAAGGCTAATCGGCTTCAGGTGGGCAGTAGCAGACCATTAAGCAAGAGTGGTACTCCGCCCTTAAAAAACAAGCTGTAGTGTCCGAGCATTGCGCTATTCGAAGTAATCATATAACCAACAATCACTGCCTCTCGTGATTGAAGTTTGTGAGAAATAGAGCATCGATCTCCCTCCAAACGCCAGTGAAAAAGATGTTAAGGTTGGGCTTGTAAACACCCTAGCCAAAGGCATCAGCAGTACGCCGGTACGCAGTACCGACGCTTCCGTGACGCAACCACCGCCAGTCGCGCATGGGCTAAGGATACTGCGAGAAGCACCCGGTCCCCGGGTTGCAAGGCAGACGTCTTGTCCTTTCGGCCACCCATATTCAGTGTCCTTCCTGACATGAGGGGCTTGGAAAGCGCCGCCTCAGTGCAACTCAATGGATGAAGAGAGAACGCAAGCAATGATATCACAATCTGGCTGCGACCTCTGCAATTTCCGACGTTGTTTGTCAATGGATATAGGTGCCGGAGCGTAGTCTTAAACATCACAAGCCTGCCTTGTAATCCGTGGACGCGGCGTGAAGCATACAAAGGGATAAGGCGACCTTCACAGTGTCCTTAGCCCATGCGCGACTGTTGGTGGTTGCGCAGCTGCGAAGCGTCGGTACTGCGTACCGCTGAGGCCCTCTTTATATGTGCGCATCTCGAGTGTAACAATAATCAACCAGTAAATGACAAGAATCGCGCAAAGTATGTCATCCGGTAAATTTGTGCAGCAAAATAAGCATACGGTTCACAATTGACAAAAATATAAACAGTTGGTTAGGAATTGCAACTCACCGAGCAACTGAACAAGATTTCGATGACGGAGCTTCTTCATAATAGCGGCCTCCTTGAGAAAATCGTTCACGTTGACCTCTTGCTACAACGGTGAGGATATAGTCAAGTGTAAGCTTTTGGTATGGTATGCTTGTCAAAAATGATAACATTTGCAACTACGCCTGCGGCCCGCACAAAGATACATATCCCGCGGTATGATCACTGAGACTGAACACAAAAGACTAATCAAAAGCCGATAAAGATACATTTCCGAATTGTTTTGTTTGATATTTACACACTGTTCATTAATTGGAGGAATGATGTTTGAAAAATCGGTGGCGTGCTTTTTATTGTTATGGGGCAGATGTGTTATGAAATATAGTGAAATGGTTTCAAACTCTTGGTAAACACTGCAGCCGGAATTACTAGACATAAATAGCGTTAATGTGGATGTGAATGTGGGTAGCTCAGGCTGTTCATTTGGTAGATGAACTGTTCCATGAACTGGGCAATTATTTTGCAAACATTTCGCCACCAGTCGAGGTGACATCATCAGTGCGTTAGTGTGTAGCGCAGTGTAGTATAGCGGTGTGAACCGGGTAGTCACGCGAGTGCGTTTTTATAAACCATCGTCATTGGCCGCTTGGGCATGGGATTTTGGAAAAATGACCTCTTTGACACATGCCTCGTGACTATGGCCCGTTCGTCGCCGTGGCTGAGGATACTGTCTAAGCTGTTTGTATGGCATTCTTTTCGAGTAAGATCATTCAAATGCGGTGGTGGTTTATTGCTCGTAGATTTGTGCAGATGGCATCTAACGCAACGTGTCGATTGATCGAATTCTTCGTGGAGTGTCATAATTCTGAGAATTCTTTTGCCTGCTTCGTATTCGCATGTGCTAGAAGTTTCAGGTTTTCCAGGTCAAAATGAGGACCAGCTTCATCCTCGTGTATCGAAACCAATGAAGAGGGGTCATGCCTCCTTATAGCCTTCGTATGCTCTGTGATCCGGGTGGAAAGCCTTCTTCCGGTTTGTCCGATGTAGTGTTTATCACATTCGCTGCAGTTTACCTGGTAGATTGCATGAATTTAACTCTCTTGTTTGATTCTGTTTATCGGTCTTGAAAGTAACACTCTCAGTGTAACTATTGGTTTGTGTACCACAGTGATTTTGTGTCGATGAAGTAATCGTGCTGTTAATTCAGAAACGTTCTTGATGTACGGAGGCACTACCCATTTAGTTGACTGCTCCGGCCGCTGTTGAAGAGTTATCCTCCACAACCTTTTTCTAAGGAAGTTTCTTGGATACCCGTTGTTCCATAACACGCCGTATGGATGGTTCACCTACTTTTTTCAACTCCACTGTGTCACAGTATGTTTTCTATCTCTTGAATAGAGGTTGGATACACAGCACTTTTTGTGTGTCATCGGGTAGTTACTGTGGTAGTCCAATAGTTGATCCGATATGCACAAGTTTGAAGTGTTCCGTCCGCGTTCATGTGAATCAATGAGATCCAGAATTGGCAATTTGTTATCTTCCACCAGTTGAATGGTGAACTTGATGTCCTCAAATGTGTTATAAATCATGTGTGCATTATAGCGAATTTCGTTTTATTAGGACAATGTATCGTCAACGTACCGGATCCAAAGCTTTGTGTTGATGAATAGCGCTAGTCGGGTTATACAAGTTGATCTGAGATGAGATAGTGCGGCAGCTGCGTAGCTAAAACATCGGTTATATGGTTGACTTGGATACATTACGCACTGTGCCGGCATGGTGGAAGGAAGCAGTCAGCGATGAAGTTAGAAAGGACAGTGGACATACGACTCAGGCCGCTGCGCAGGCGAACCAGCAGGTGGCTGGTATTGAACACAGATAAATGCCGAGAAGCGGACAGACGCATAGGTTCATAATTCCACCAGCGTTCAACTGCAAAGCCTCATCCGCATGGCTCTATTGGCACAACATTCGCTTCCAATTAGCAACCGCAGAAGGAAACGGTTGAAAACGGTGTATTCGTGCGTTGAATGAAAAAAAGAATGCGGAACCGGAGACGAGATGTGGATGACGGGTGGCATTATATGACCGAATACAAGAGAAGCGTAGCTGAATGAGAAAACGGAAGGGCAACACGATCTAAAACGAACACAGTGCGAGACGATTACGTGACCTTCGCGCAAATTTCCCAAGAGTATCGACACAAGTGACACCCTGTCGTCTAGTTCCAGGAGAGTAAGCACAAAATGTGCGCAATAAAGTGCAACCATCTCAAAGTATAGTGGACAGATAGCGCTGCAAAGCACTTCTGTGGTTACGGTGCAACACCAGAGGCCAGTGCCTTGCTTAGAGAAACAATCGGATGTCCGCTGATGTTAACCGTTGCGGCGCATAACGCAAATACTTTCAGCATCATAGTAGTGTTCTGTATTGATGACCCGGTTGTATGAGTGATTGAATACTGTGGGGCGCCCAAACTTAGTAGGAACGGGGAATCGAACCCCAAACCTAAAAGCTGTAAGCCAAATGCTTGAGCAACGAACTTCACGGATTTCCGACAATGTATATTCTTGAGTTAATTGGCCCTTATCAAAATTAACAGTAGGGTGTCGTAGCCAAAATTACAAAGCGAGAGAGAGAGCCTACAGCTAATCGAGTCAGTAATACGCGGACGTTGAAACGTTCAGAGTGAAACAGTATCCTAGGTATGGAAGGCTTGGTCTCGGTGCCAAGTGTGGCTGATCGCCCTTTTAGGTTTACATGAAATAGGCTAGGAAAGTTCGAAAAACAGGAGGACACAGGTGAGTGGATAACATCGTTCAACTATCCATTTTGAAAACAGGGCATTGCCCGAGGTACCACGCCCAAAGCCATCGACCAAAAACACGAGCGCGCAATGCGATGGAGGTCGAGTCTAATTCGGACCAGCTACGTGCGAACCATACGATGTATAAAAGAACGACAAATGGCGTGCAAGTCAACTACGCTGCCTGTGCGATCCTTTGGAAAAGTGTTGTCTATAGTAAGAAAAAACGCGCGATTTTCCCACCACACACAAAGTACTCGACTTTGGATACCGGTGCAATCACCTCACGGATTATGTCTGGCTGGAAAGCCCGTGTGAACATACCTCAAATGAGCTAACATCTATCAGAGAGCGGTAGGAGAAAGCCCTAAAAAAGGAGAAGTTCAAAGTTCAGATCTAGCCAAAGTGACATTCGTACCATCTGGAAAAGTGCTGCATCGCTCCAAGGAGACTCATCAGTAGCGCGTGTTTCGGTTAGATCTTTCGGGACTCCAATCTATAAGCGGTTAAATTGTGATCAGTCGCTTATGCCGCTGATGCGCTTGTGATTCACTTGCTCTGACGATGTTTGATTACTGAACTAAGTGCTAACTTTCAGAAGGCTTGGTAGACGACTGATTAATATATTTGTTATACTTCACAACGTTTCACTTTTTGACTCAAAAGCTTCTTCACGCGAAGTAGCGGCATTTTATAACGACCATGGGTAAGCTACATACAGAGACTAGTAAACTTGCAGTTCTTTGGTGAAAGGTTACAGCGGTCAAAGGTCATCAGGGTAGTGTGTACTCTGTAGTTTCTTTCTGCTAGGGTCAAATGGGAACAAAATGCCGATCACAGGGTAGTTACATGCATGGTCGGTAATAAGTGGTCCGTTGGAAGGAACTTGGTCACTGACGGAACTTGTTTTTAATACTTAGAAATTTGGTGGGGGGGGGAGCGTTGATAGTTCATTCCGACTTCGGATCCATTCGCCGACGCTTACCATACTGCCCAGAGCAAGACTGGACGCCATGCGCTAGGCAGCTCTGTTAGTCCTGATAATTTCTATGACCTCAGTAATTAGCCTCTGTTGGGCTGATCGTAATCCCTATTGCCGACTGTCTGACCAGAGCTCTATACTCCAGACTGTTTCTCGAAGGTCGCAATATGTGCCGCCTATGTCCTGCGATTCTTGCATGTAATTCAGTCGCCCTTTGGTCTATATATACCTGCGTTCAATGCCACAAGGAATTTTGTAAATACAGTTAGTTGTTCTATATAAAGGAAGAGATTCCTACAAATGCACAGGCGTCGATGGTAGCGTTTTGATAAAGTACCCTTATCTTCTCTTTATTCACTACTGTCCGGATCGCTTCCGAAGTTCCTTCTCTATACGGAATACTAACTGTCGCTATCCACTCTGTGGTTGGTGTTGCGCGTGGGTTAAGACATTTCTGTAGCTGTCGTTTCACCAATCGTCCCGAATATTCGCTAGTTAATGGGTTTTTCATCGCCGCCATCTGCGCCAGTTTTCTATCTTCTTCTTCTTCTTGCTCTGTGAAACAATGATGAGGCGATTCTCGCACACACGTGTTTCGAGTGACCTGAACTACGGTTAAGTACCCCATCTGTGTCTATTGGCTTTCGACACATTGTCGTTTGTAACCTTTCTTCGTTCTTGCGGACCAGACAATCAAGAAACGAAAGTGCTTGGTTTTACGGTAAACGAGGTCTTAAGCCGCACGTCGCCAGTGCGAAAGAGACGGAATGCCGTGCGTTGAAAGAACGGAGTTGGTAATTGCGATAAAACACTGTCCACAGGATGAACCCGAGTTCGCTTATTTTTGGTAACTATTCCTTCCTAAACTGCTACAAGGTACAAAGGCTGATGTGGCTTCGAACTGTGCTCATGAGTGATGCGACGCGAACTCATGGAAGCCCAACAGGAGTGTGAATGGACATTGAAGAAGGACAAGAACAAGAAGAAGAAGGAACAGCAGCGCACATGCATGGCTACAGTTAGGGGATAAGCCGAAACTCACTTTCAAAGTCTTCACGGCGACCACAACGTTGTGGCGCTTCCAAACAGCTTCGTAGACATCTCCGTATTGGCCACAACCTGTAAGGAAGTCAAAGTGGCAAGCACTGTTGTCAGTGTCAGTGAAAGGGAATATGTGCGTCCATATGGAGAGATGGGAAATAGGAGCGTTGGCTGGGAGAATCAACCACGGTCTAATAAAATCACAAATTGACAGTAGACTGAGATACATAAACATTTTAAAAGAAAACGCTGCTGAAACGAGATCCAGCAATGGTAGCAGTGTGTCTGCTTACCAGCGGCAGACTGCTATAAAGACATGTGGGTTCAAAAAATAATTTGAAGATAAAGGATAGGATAGTTGCATAACCCGTTGTGTTCACACCAGTCCAAAAGTACCAAGTTTGATGACAACGGTGAAAGTCAGCCAAGATGAAATTACAAGTGCTTAATGCAGTCCAAGAGCTGGCTTATGACCGCTATGCCCCGGGACCTGATTCGCGACTCCCATGCAAGTCTGAGTTACAAACATGCCACCAGTGCTGCTCTTGTCCAATGTCACAGGTTAAGTTCGGAGCCCGTGAACTCTAACCTGGAAGACAGCGATTCAACTGCAGGCAGTTACGTAATGGCGCAGTGTCAACGCAGAGTACTGATGTGTTGCTGGTGTCCGCCTGAAGAGTGAAATGGACAAGTGGCAACAAGTGTAATGAGCAACGATTTCGTTTCTCGCTGCCAAAGAAACGACTGCTGCTCTCGAATCATATGCTATCCAACATCGGATACACCATACACGACACTTGACAGTGGCCAGTATTGCGCGTAGCTTGAGCTTCGGTAAATGCAAACTACTCTGTGTGTCCTTGGTCAGGTTGATGAACTACTAATCACCTCATCGTTAACTAGCAGTCGCCTGCGCACCTACGGAGCCTCTACTACTCAGTCGAAAGTGGTGTGTGGGCGGACAGCTGAAGTAGCTCGAAATTCCCAGATCGAACGAGCGAACTCAGTCCGCATAAACTGGTGGAGTAAGCAGCTCACTGATGCAGTTTGCAGCTGATGTGGTTTTCCTAGCATACAAACGTTCTCAAATGAAGCAACACACGCAGTACAGACGTGTTGAGGAGGGTAGTTTGCAAGTTTAGTAATTACTTATTGATTTCCCACGGGGTCACAAACCCATTGGAAATAAAATTGACCAGAATGATGCAGAATTCGGTGCAAATATTTGAAAAAAGTTAACAGGTGGAAAATGTTTAACAAAGAGGAGGGAAATCTACTTGTGCACGTATACGTAAAAGCGATCGTATCGAAACCGAGGACGTTTTGACTAAGCTGAGAGAGATACGCAAAGCAGAAATTACTACGTGTGGTCGCACACACAAACGCACGCATACGCATACACAAAATCCCAGAATGCGGGGCTACATACCAAATAAGAAACCGCCGAAAAAAGGAATTTCAGGAGACAGTGTGATAGCCAGTTTCTTGCTCAGCTACTTGTATAATAAGAGCAGCCAACAAAAGAGGGGAGGTACACGGGGGGCAGTCATAACGATCAAGTGCGTGGGTAGCTGGATGAGCCCAAGATAACTGATATACTGAAACCGAAGTAAACACGCAATGGGATGACGTGGTGAAATGCACGGAAAGTGGGGCGTACAATGAGGAAAGTACTCGCTGGCTCTCCGAACAAACGTCACATAGTGCCAGGTTGGAGGTTCGGGTGTAGCCTGTTCCAGCAAATGATTCGGCGGCAGTGCTCTAGGACTTCGCTTGGTAAGCGTTATCTCTATAAAAGCCAAATTTGTACGTTTTAACAACACTGACGTGGCAGATGTGACTCGCCACCAGCTAAAGTCACTGATACTCGCTTCACGCAGGTGGGGTACTGCAGTCCAACGGGTGGATGTTGACACCACGGAATGTATTCAGCTCCCATCTAGCGAATCTCGAAATCAAAAGTGTATAAACAAAAGAATCGGTCACCGGCTGCGAACAGACGTGATTTCCTAACTTCGCACCGACGCATTATGTGTAGGCTATTTAGTCGAAGGTTCGGAGTGGTGTCCTCAAAGTCAACTCCCAACATTAACCTGGGCAAACCCGTCAACATCAAACCTTCTGAAGATGCTATGAGCTTTTTAACGTTTTGTTCGGTTTTCGTTTTATGAGGACTATACCTTTGTTGGATTTCCATGGTTGCTCACATCCAGATAACGAGAAGGAAAAAACAACCACGTCAATAACTGGAGAAACAAACAAACGAGGTATCCATGCATTAACGTTGACAGGTTTGAACCCCTTTGAGCTAACCCACTAACCAGTTGTTTTCGACGGTCAAGGGACAAGAGATACGATAAAGCGATCCACGGTCATAAAGTATGTGGATCATAGAGGGCGAACAAGACCCAATTAAGAGCATATGACAGATGAGATGTGGATAACAGTTCGGTATCCGCCAAGTAGCTAACGAATTCATCAACATACCGAGCTTCTGCCGCGTGACGATTTCCGATCGGTCAATCTCCCATTCATCCAAGGTCAACTTTCGACCAAAGTCGTCCACAAATCCATCTACCGGAGAGATTGAAGAGGCGGGTAAGATATTGGCACGTGAATTTGGCACAGGGAAATGCGTCTGGTGCATTTGAGGAGCATCCGTTTGTCCAGGATGTATGGGGGGTTGGGCAGAAGCAGGAGTCAAATGGGAGTGAGGATGAGACATTGATGACGACGGAGGATCCGGTGCTCCTGGAGCAGCAGCAGGAGGAGGAATAGCATGGGCCGCAATGGAGGAATATGGAGCCTGCTGTGTGCCCATCGTGAACGCCGGATGTTTTGGCACCGGATACAGAAGGGGACAAACCAGACCATCAGCAGATCGTGAGTGATGATCGATCAATTGCACAACGGTGGGGAAGCGGTGCACATTGGTGATGTAAAACTGAGGAAGAGACAACGAAAGTGGGAAACACTGAATGGGAACGAATCGGTAATTATCGATCGAGTGTGAACGAAAGCCGCGACTTACATTGTCTGAGAAGTTCAATCGCTGTCCCTCCGAACATAGGATAAGGGATGTCAGTGAGAGGCGATGATAATGTTGAAAAAATTAACGGTCTCAGTCAGTTAACAATAAAAGACCGAACGAACAAGGTGTGCCAAACAGAATAGTTGAGTTGGTCCAGTTACGAATACCAGGACTGCGAGTGGGTAGAGTGTAGCGTATAATCGCAACGGCTAGTAGACGTGCAAGACAAAATAAGACGTACAGCGTGCAACCGACAAGCTATTTTTACTTATGCGAGAGGGATGGGCACAGACGAATTTGTTCCAAATTAGCAATCGATAAATGTGATCATGTTTGGAGCAAGACAATGTAGCGTATCCGTGATGGAATGGAGACGCATGCCTAATTAATTTCCGATATGAGACGTCCGCTTCAGATGCACACAAACATGTCACCGATACAACACAGGGGGTTAGAGATGAAACAAATTGCAGACATAACAAGTATACTGAAAAAAATCAAAAGGATAATGAAGTGAAGCCCTCGTCTACAGATAAATCAACATATAGCCTGACTGGCCAAGGGTGTAGTGAAGTAGAGTAAAGCGTTCCAGTGTGTTTACTCGCCGAAGAACCCACGTATGCAAATACGGTGATCTGGCGCACTCAATCAGGTAATTAACTTGCCGATTCAGGACAGCTAACACCGGCAAGAGTGGGATACTGCATAAATCGATGTGCAGACTTGTATAACATAGCAGGCGGACGACCGACTTCCGGGTTGGCTGCCTCGTGACAACTTAGTAGATCTGATAGACAGGAGCGCGGAAGCACACGGACGATGGTTGGTTGCACAAAGGTAAGTGTTGAGGTCGCTGCGCCTCCAGTCGAATTTGGAGCGAACCGAGGATGGGAAAAATGTGCGTCGCAGGACAAATGTTGCGCACTTTTGGAGTACAAGCATACATGTGCAATGTAACGAACAGTGTTATTTCAACGCAACCCAACTGTAACACGCTTTGACCGGGCGATAGAAGTCTACGCAGTTGCCCGACACACTACCTAGAAATGTGGAATCAGTGCTGGCCAAATCGAGTTGCCAAAAGCAAACCACAGAGTCGACGATCAGCTAGCATTCTGTGCTGATTTTTAAATGGTTGGTCCGACTTTCTTGGGTCCTGTATGTCATGAGTTCACAGTGCGAAAATCATTTTCATTCCACTGTGCATAGCGCGTGAAAGTTGATGAATGATGTGGTGCCACCAATGTGTAGCAAATGAGTATGGGAATCGTGGGGAGAGTGGATGGCAACCAGAACCAGAGTGCAATGACTCAGATGCATGGTTTACTGCAATCTTCTCGCTCTGTATTGGAGTCTCGACTTTAGTTTAGCTCAGTTGCGACCGCTTTAAGAAAGAGGCACCGGCACGCCGCACAGGCCCTTGGCTTCCACGCGGCCACCACTTGCTGCGTGTGGGACAAGGGTACTGCGATACCGCTGACATCTTCGCAGATTCGAAACACAAGACATATGCCTAGTCCCACCGGGCACCCACTGACCACTTGTGTGATAGCGAAGCATCAGAACGAAGTACCGATGTAATGTTGGCATCTAATTGATAAGTTTCGTCTAGTTATCAAATTACGGTCAGAAAATGAAAGTGCGGAAGACCCAAGTGCTCCAGCACACACAACCACGATAGCCACTATTAGCGGTGGAGTAAACAAAAGCAGATAAAATCAAACGACAAAGCGGATGGAAAAAGTTGAGGGGCAGATAGATGCGATTTAATGAAGGGAATATTAATGAGAAGCAAAGAAACGAATGTGCAAGGACGCCAGTTGACTTTGGGATTGTGCTTCGTCAGAGAGAATCGGTGGTCACGGATTACGCTGTGCTACCTTATGCACTGGTCAACCTGAAACCGCACAAGGTCATCCGGAGTGTCTATAGAAAAGAGTTCCCAATGAAGATACCAGTAAGGTACGGTGATCACAAGTCGAACGCGCACACACATCTGGACTGTGACAAGTGCTACGGAAGGGGGGGTGCGAAGTTGGGCACTGCAGCAGTGACGAGAGAAGCAAGAGGCGACTGTGCATAAATGCACACATCATCACCAACAGCAGAATATAAGCCATGTGAACTGATTCTTCTAGCTACGAAAGAATAATAATAATAATGACAAAAATAATAAGGCGATGAGTCTAGCGTAAAACCATAAAGGCCAAAATAAACATTCAGGGTCAAGGTGCCTACGCCTTGTCAACAACACGCTGCCAATGCCCGACGACATTCGATTAAAGCTCGGCTGAATAAAATGGTGTCTGTGTCCAAAAACCTGATCAGTTCGCAATAGGACACGAAGGTGTACTAATGGAGTGAGGCTGAAAGCCGAATGCGATAGCGCTTGAAGAAAACCGGAAGGCAAAGATACTACGGAAAATGATAGCGGTACAAGTCCGTTCACAGTCTCACGTAAGCGATGGGAAACACCGCTGTTAGCGATGCCACAGTTGCTGTGTGTATGTGAGTGATGAAGGTGAGAGCCAGAACGTACTTGGCCGAGTCGAAAAAAACTTCGAAGAAATTAGTCACCCGGATGGACTGGAGACCTCGGTATGAAGATAGTATTAAACGCACCGGTCGACAGCTAGGCGATGTACGCATGGGGTACACACGCATACAAGCACACACACACATACACGCACAAACGGGTGCGACAAACTCGTTCGACCTGTTCAGAGAGCGAGCACGGGTGACTGTGTAATGTCCTGTGCCGCTGACCGGTTTACGACTTCTGCCCCGCGGCTTACAGGGAGGAAACGACGGGTGCATTTGACAGAGCGAAGAGGACAGTTGCGTTCCGGACAGTGTGGTACACGCAGACGTTAAACCGACAGCTGGTACATATACACACATATATTGGCTGATAGTTGAATAACAGTTGTGCTAAGCAAAGAAACGGAATCGGTGGACACGGGTCCACAGGACACAGCAAAAACAACAACTTAACTTGCCCCACGCCAAAGCACACATGGAAGTTAGCAGGTCGGTCGGTTAATGACTTGATACATGCACTAGAAGATGGTGGTTTCCGGAAAAGAGGAATAAACAATGATGCAAAACGGTTGTGAGCGGAGGAAACGGCCGCGGATGTAGTGTGTGCCGCAAGTTAGTGGTGGGACTAATGGTGGCTAATCGACTTGTGCATAAAAATGATTTACTAAATTGCTTTTGACGGCTGTGGCTACTGTAAGTGTGGAAATTCGATTTTCAACCTCGGAACCCGCAGAGAATGTTTCGAATATACAGTTACGCATTCGTAAATGCCTGAACGGTGAAGCAAACGCGACAGGGATGATATAGCCACTTACTCAACTATATCGAATTGAACGCATCTATTCGTGGCGTCGTCAAAGATTAAAGAGTGGACCAGGTACGTTAGTTCCCATTCAGAGAACACAAAGCAACATCCTATGGAACTGTACAAAAAAATACAGCAAGCGCTTCCATGAGTTGATAAGATAGCCTCACATCTACCCTTATCGAGAAATTTGTGGTTGAAACGGACGTGAATGGCCCTGCTATATTTGATTCGTTTCGAAAGAGATTTCTCGTAGATTATCCGTCCAGAAAAAACAAAGCATGAGAAAGCTGCAAGTGCTTTGTTTGCCAGATTTTGGGTGGCGTCAGACTCGCGGTGGACAAAAGTTAACAGCGGGAAATGAAGTCACCGGCTACGAAGAAACCAGGTGCTGTTGACCCGTCTCATCTTATAGGTTAAATTCCGTGTGATCCGCCTAGTGCTTACCTGGACAAATTACAGGACATTGCTTGCAGTCGGTTTCAGTGACGCGTCCGCTGTCGTTTCCTAGTCGGACTGTCTGTCTAGTGTACTTGCGGTAGCCAGTACGTCGGCCGAACTGAGAGGAGACTGTCCACAAAGATTTTAGAGCATGTTCTGCGAAACCTAGTCGCGAATGGTCCGAAGCTGCCCGCCAGTTCAATCGCCGGACAAATACTTGACTGCCTCATGCGTGAAAAATCACGTGAATCATTTGGGATAATCAACCGACAGAGCGCCGCACGCCTGCTTCAGGTCGCTGAGGCTTCGGCAATAAGACAGTTGAAACCCACTTTGTGTAAACAGACCGAGTTCGTCACCAGTCTCGTCCTGCGTTTGTGAAGCTGGTTGCCACATTCCTCTAAGCGGAATGTCGGCCAACATCCGATGAACTTTGACCATTTTCCATTATCCAATGACGATACACCCTGAATGTCTCTGTATGAAACCTGGCCATTCCATTAATTTATGTGAGGCTGATGAGAATATGCGAAATAGGTGAATTCAGACTGTCCTGTTGAAATGTCGCTCTTTCCTGCCACGTTGATGTTAACGGTGTGATTGGTACTGTTATCTGCGGGGTAATGGCTGATTATAAAACGGAGTCGTGGAAGCCACAGAGAAGCTGCCTCGCCAATGCCGCCTTTACACGACAACCAGCTGTTTTATTATGTGCTGTTGACACCGACTAATTGCTTAGGACATTTAGGTTCTACACTAGGTCCCCATTCTTCTTGAGAGCGACTCATACCAGACAAATCAGTGTTTAGGGATCAGACAAATTCGGTCTCAGCATCCTCTTCGGAGGTTGAGTGAAGGAAACGTATGAGCAGTACATCCGCACATCGTACCGACGCTTAGCTACCGCGCGACTACCAGTGGTCGCGCATAACCTTGGTATATCGTGAGGTTGCCCGCATCCAAGCGGATTCGAAACGTTGACCTTTGGATTAAGGAGCAACGCATAATCGTTTCAATCAACGGACAAAAAAATAGTGCCAAAAATTGGGCCCGCAATTCTGCCTTTCACCAGCAACGAACAACAATTCGAAGTAGTGGACAAGACCGCTTGGTAGTCACATCATCG